ACCATTTTAATTTAACAATTTCAATATAATTTTATTACTTATTATAGGCAGCAACCTAGGAGCTTTTAAGGTGTTTTCCTTGCAATTCCAGACACAGGATCTATTTGGTATAAGTAGCACCAGAGGGCGCTCATCTTACAGGTTTGTTTCTGTCTGGATGTTTTTCTTCCTAAAGAAAACACTAAAATGCCTTCCTAAAGAAAACACTAAAATGCCTTAACAAGCGCATGGCTTCTTGGAAGAGTGGGCTGGTAGAGTGGCTCAAGTGGTTGACCTGCCTAGTAAGTGTGAGGCCCTGAGTTCAAACCCTAGTACCACCATAAAAGAAAAGAAAGTGGAAGAGAGAAATTGATTGTAGATAGGTGGATATGTATAGATTATTGTGGCTCCTCCCTCTCCATTAACACTGAAACCTTGTGAGACTATGATCCCTTGAATTACCACAGTTTTTTTCTCCTTAAGCATGTTAATCTCCTGCCTTGCCACGGAAACTGTCTACCCTGAGCTCTGAAAGTTGGGCTCTCATCCCCAGTGCTGTACTTTCTCCTGGAGTCTTCTCTGGAGGGACACAGGGGAACACACCCAAGGGAGAAGATGGATCTACTTCTTCCAAGGATGGTTTTCATTATGCTCTCTAAGGACGGGATGCAAAGTAGCCTCCAAGATGGTCCCAGGATCCCTACCTCCTCGTCTATACACTGTGCTGAGCAGGGCTTTCCTGTGTTACCACTATGATGTTAGGGGAATGACAGTGTGATGTCCAAAGTCAAGGTTGCAAAAGACATGTGCCTTCCAGTTTGCTCTCTCTTGGACACCTGAGCCTGCTGCCACATGTGGGGATGTTCAAGTCGTGCTTGGAGGGTCCCTGTGACAAAGGCCCGAGTTCTCTTGCTACTAGACAGCAGTATCTTCCCATGTGAGTACCAGCCTGAGAGTGAGCCACCTCCAAAGTGGATTCTCCAACTCCAATTTAGCCTGCAGTTGATGGCACTGGTCAACAGTTGCTCTTCAGCCTCATTTAAAAAGGAAGGGGGGTGCTGGTAAAGTGGCTCAAGTGGTAGAGCATCTGCCTTGCAAGTACGAGGCCCTGAGTTCAAATCCCAGTACTGCCCAAAAAGCAAAAAAACCTTGAGCCACAGTCCATATTGCATAGGCCTGAAGACACTATCTTGTGAGGTTTAATACAACTGTACTGTCATTCATATAAAAATACCAGGAATCTTCACTTTTGCTACCTTGATATAACATCAGTCTATCATGTTCTAACATTGAAATACATCAGCTTATTAAAAAATACTTCTAGGAGCTGGTGGAGTTGCTCAAGTGGTAGAGCACCTACCTAGCCAAGCATGAGGCCCTGAGTTCAAACCCCAGTACCACCAAAAAAAAAAAGTCCACTCAAAAAATACTTTTATAAGAAATGTTGAACCACCCCCCCCCGAACCAGAAGTGCTCTGCTAAGTTGCTTCTGAATTCCTGACCCACAGAAACTGTGATATATGAAATGTTTATTTTTTTTTAATACACTAAGTTTGGGTTGGTTTGCTGTGCAGCAACACGAATTTTCTTTTCATCGCATCTGACAACACATTTAGCACTGCTGTCTTTGTGCTTTCACATCCTGTAGTTAAATCTCTCCAAAGGCTCATCATTAATTTCAGGATAAAGCCAATCCTTTCACACAGCACAAGCCCTTCCAGATTCGGCTTCTTTGTGCCTCCCAGCCTCACCTGGCCCACGCTGCTTTTCTTTCCCATCTCTTCAGCTACTCTGAAACACGCTGCATCGCCTTAGCTGTGCATGGATAAAATTTGCCAGATAAAATTCAGCATACCCAGTGAAATCTGAATTTCTGATAAATAACAAATAATCTGTATGGTAAAAATATTGCCTGGCACAAACTAATTCTAAAAAGCTATCCTCTTATTTATCTGAAATTCAAATTTAACAGGGCATCCTGTACTTTTTTGCTACTGAATCTGGTAAGCCTACAGATGTGAGCTGGTTTCTATTAGCACCTACACATTCACTGGCTGCATTGCCACAGCTCTCCTGGTTAACTATCTGTCCTGCAAGACTCCAGCCGAGTGGGGAGTGGGGAGGAGTCAACACTTCTAGAAAGTCTATGATGACTCCTCCCACCCCCTCCCCATCGATGAGGATGAAGCAGAGGTGCCTGCTTGAGGCTCCCACTCTTGCTCTGTCATCCCTGCTGTTACATCACACCGCGATTACAGCTGTCCTCCAACAGTGATGGGTGCACTCAAGACTACCGTGGATACCTAAAACCACGGATAGCACTGAGTCTTACATATACAGTTTTTTCCTATGCATGCATACCTATGATAAAGCTTAATTTATAAATTAGACACAGTAAGAGATGAACAGGAAGTAATAAATATAACAATTATAACAATGTAACATAATCAAAGTTACGTGAATGTGGCCTCTCTCTTTCCTCTATTTCCGTCCCCCCACTCCATTCCTCCCTCTCTTTCTCCCTCTCTCATCAAAACAAATACTAACATTTTCTGACTGTGATTGACCACAGGTAAGTCAAATCACTGAATGTAAAAGCTTTCAGCTATACTTATCTGTATAAGGTGGGTCTTCTGTATTTATTTGCCTGTCTTGAGTCTTAGATTCTGAACCTCTTGTCTTACGGGATAGCCTCTGCACCAAACACATAATGAAATCATTATTGATGATTACCAAACACTTACCTATAAGCTACTCATTGTTCTGAGATGTTGTGCATATATAAACTCATGAGTCTTCATATGAAGCCAGAGGTGGTACTCTTAACATCCCACTTTTACTGGTGAGGAAACTGAGGTCTGAAGAGGTTATGCAACTTACCCAGTAGCATTCAACTTCAGTGAGATTGTAGTTCAAACCCAGGCTCTGACTCCAGAGGCCACCCTGCTTTTCTATGATGACTGATGAGTATTTGTTGAATGAATGTGAGAATTGATTTCTAAATTATCTAGCTATATGCCTTCAAACAGGGACCTCTCTAACTTTACCACTCCCGACTCTCTCTCTCAAAGCATGGTATGTATCTTCCTGGTGGGCAAATACCAAAGGGTTATTCTGGTCTGTCCCTTTTCAAATCCTGACAACAGATCCAGGACACTACTGTGAACACACTTTCCTAAGGAAGAAAGGAGACAACAAAGACTCTAGGAATGTAAGCCAAGAGGGCTCTGTACTCAATAGCATGAATTCTAGAGTTCAGTTTCTGGAGTTCAGCTCTCACTTCTATGGCTTACCAGTTGTGTGGCTTTGGATGCAGCCCTGGGAGTTAGATTCTTCATCTGAGAACGGAGACAATCATTTTTATTTCCTAGAGCATTGTTGACAATTATATGAAATTAAAGAAAGAAAACACACTAGCACAGTGCCTGGAACATAGTACGTTCTCAGTAAATACCATCTGCATATACCATTTATTCCAGTTGTGGGCACCTGTGGGTGTGGTACTTCCATGAACTTATGTGACTTCTTCAGCCCCTTTACCCTGTGCAAACTTTCAGAGGTAGGATAGAGAGCTAGGTCTACACCCTAACCTTTGGAATTTTAAAAGCAAAACTGAGGGGAGGAGTAACAAGATGGCAGATTGTTGACATCTCTATACTCCGGCAGCAACTGACTACCCTGAAGAAAGAAAATCAGGGAACCCCAAAAGGCACCCATGGGATTCCATAACCAGCAGGAAACAAAGCCATCTCTGAGTCCACAAATCCACAAATTAAGAAGCAACTAACCACGGGAAGAATGGGAAGAACTACTCACAGCTCAACACTCCCGATCTCCTGGCCCTCCATGCAGCTCCAGGCTCCATTTCTGCATACTGACTCAGTGGCAAGTCATGCTTCTCGGCACACACAGGAACTCAGAGCTGTACTCTCCCCCCTACTATACAACCTGCTACCTTCACCCTGAAACCAGGGAAACTGGTGCCCTGATATAAGCAGGACCCAGGGCTTCTGCTGCTCCGTGGGTAGCAGAAGGTGCAAGCCAGTAGGCTTGGTTCCCCCGTGGCTGGCACCAGCTACTATACTGCTCTCCTGGACAAAGCCCCAGGGCTTTTGTTGCTCTAAAGCTTTGTTCTCTTGTGACTGCAGCAGCTCCTGTGGCTCCTGGAAGCCCATGCCCCAAAACAAGTAGACCCCAGGGCCCCCACTGCCTTGTGGACACCAGATGATTCAAGCCCACTGGCTTTGCTGCCCCACAGGCACCCTCAACTTGCCTGCCATAGACACACGTGAACCCCATACTCCACCCTTTACTATTCTGCTGGTGCCATGAGACTTTCCTCCCCACAGGGCACAGAGGCCCAGTGCTAGCCACCAAACCCTCCAGTGGGAAAGCCCCCACTGTCCTGTCAAAGAGCAAGAACCCAGCTCCTACACTGAGTGGTAATCTGCTATTCTGTGGGGGCCAGAAGATGTGTTTCCCTAAGGCACAAAAAGGCACAGTGCTTCCCACTGAGCCCAACCATGGGAGAGCCCCTGCTTCTCCATTAAAGACCAAAAATTCTAGATTCTCCACTGAAGGGAGGAAAGCTGTAACCTACTACTCAGTGAGTGGCACCAGAAAGCCTGCCTCCAAAGTGCACAAAGGCCCAGAGTTCACCACTGTGCCTGACAGCTGGAATGCCCCTGCTCCCCCATCAAAGAGCAAGAATGCCAGGTTCAGGGGAAGAGAGCTGCAACCAGCTACTCTGTGGACAGCAAAAGAAGGCCTGCTTCCCCAAAGTGCACAGAAGCCCAGAATCTCCCACCTCACTTGCCTACAGGAGAGTCCAGTCTCCCCTGCCTAAGAGCTGGAACCCCAGCTCCTCCAATGCATAGCAATTGGTTACTCTGCAGCTGTCAAGAGAGGCCCAGCACTCCCCACTGTCCTTGACAGCAGAAGAGCCCTCACTCCCCTGTTAAAAAGCAAGAACACCAGATTCCCCATTGAGGGGAGGAAAGCTGTACCCTTGTACTCTGCAGGTGGCACCAGAGTCCCATTTCCCCAAGGCACAGAGAAGCCCAACGCTTCACGCTGCGCCTTCCTGCAGGAGACTCCATCTCTCCTGTCCAAGAGCTGGAATCCCAGCACCTCTATTAAGTGGCAACTTGCTACTCTGCTGGTGCTAGGAGGTCTGCCTCCCACAGGTCACAGAGACTCAGCACTGTCCACTGTGACTACAGGAGAGCACCATACCCCCATCAAAGAATGGGAACTCCAGACCCTTTGTTGGGAGGAGAAAGAGGTAATGTGCACCACAACAAGAACCCTGCAAGGGGTAACATTTCCAGCATACCCTCTCTGAGAAAAACTGCTGGAGCTCCAGGAGAAAAAAACTCAAAACCTCAACTACAGAGACACAAGAGATTAAAACCCTAACCAAAACCAACTCCAGATGTATAAATCTCAGCACAGAATGAAACAGCAAGACAACCACTCTCCATCAAAAGCCAATGCCACCACTAAGGAACTAACCACCTGCATAGAGGAAGAGATATCAAATAATGAATTCTAAAAAACAATAGTAAAAATGACAAATACCTCAAAGAAGAAACACAAAAACTAGTATTTGACCTCAAAGAGGACATGAATAAACAATTAAATGAGCTCAAAGAGAAAACAAACAAACAGATGAATGAAATTAAGAAGACAATCCAGGATATGGAAGAGGAAATCAATAAAGATATGGAAACCCTGAAAAATAATCAATCCAAAATAAACAACTCAATATCCCTAATAAAAATCTCAGTTGAAAGCTTGATGAACAGAGTGGAGCAAGTGGAAAATAGAGTATCAGGAATGGAAGACAAGGTAGAGGAATTAGACCAAACAGTAAAAGATCATGAAAGAATGCTAAGAAAATACAAATGGAACATGCAAGATATCTGAGACACCATGAAAAGACCAAACCTATGAATCATGGGTATAGAAGAAGGAGAAGAGATACAAACTAAAGGCACTGACAACCTATTCAATAGAATAATAGCTGAAAACTTCCCTAACCTCAAGAAAGAGAGACTCACCCAAGTGCAGGAAGCATACAGAACACCAAACCATCAGGACCAAAAAAGAAACACCTCCAGACACATCATAATCAAATCACTTAGCACACAGAACAAAGAAAGAATTCTGAAACTTGCAAAAGAAAAAAGACAAGTCACATATAAAGGCAAACCCATTAGAATAACTGCAGATTTCTCAACTCAAACTCTAAATGCAAGAAGGTCATTGAAAGACATAATTCAGGCCCTGAAAGAAAGCAACTGTCAACCTAGACTAGTCTGCCAGCAAAACTACCCTTCCTAATTGAAGGAGAAATTAAAACCTTCCACAACAAGGAAAAACTAATGGAATTCGTGGCTACTAAGCCAGCACTACAGAAGATACTTAAAGGACTTTTATATATAAAAGAAGAAACTAGAGTGAGACAGGAAGAAAGAATAAACCCTTTTTGTGCAAGCAGACCAGTAAACAAGGAATAGGTAAAACTAAACAGGGGAATAAAAATGGCTGGAAACAACAGGCACCTCTCAATATTAACCCTGAATGTAAATGGCCTCAATACCCCAATTAAAAGACATGGAATAGCAAACTGGCTTTTAAAAACAGGACCCAACCATATGTTGCTTATAAGAGACTCATCTCACAGAAAAAAAGAAACACTGGTTTAGAGTCAAAGGATAGAAAAAAGTTTTCCAAGCAAATGGACCCCATAAACAGGCAGGAATAGCTATACTCATATCTACCAAAGTATACTTCAGACTAAAATCAATCAGAAGAGGCAATGAAGGTCACTTCACATTAATGAAAGGAACAATTCATCAAGAGGAAATATCAAGCCTTAACATGTATGTGCCAAACATAGGGGCGCCCACCTATATTAAAAAAACTCTAAAGGCCCGAAGAGCACAGGTAGAAGCTAACATAGTGAAAGTGGGAGACCTGATTACTCCACTGTCACCAATAGTCATCCAGACCAAAGATCAACAGAGGAACTTCAGAGCTATTCTACACATTAGACCAAATAGACATGGTTGATAGCTACAGAGTATTTCACCCAAAACCTAGGCAATACACATTCTTTTCTGCAGCTCATGGAACTTTCTCCAAAATAGATAGCATTTTAGGACACAAATTAAGTCTCAAGAAAATTGAAATAAGCCCCTGCATCATATCAGATCACACTGGAATAAAAGTAGACCTCAACAACAAAAGAAACCCCAGAAAATATTCAAACACATGGAGACTAAACAACACACTGCTGAAAAAAACAATGGTAACTGAAGAAGTCAAAAAGTTCCTAGAATCCAGTGAAAATGAATCTGTGGGACACAGTAAAGGCTGTGCTAAGGGGAAAGTTTATAGTTATAAGGGCCTACATTAAAAAAAAAAGAGAACTCTCAACTAAACAACCTAATGATGCACCTTAAGCTCCTAGGAAAACAAGAACAAACCAAACCCAACACCAGCAGATGGAGAGAAATAATGAAGATGAGGCCCAAGATCAATCAGATCAAAACCAAACAAACTATATGAAGAATCAATGAAACAAAGAGTTGGTTCTTTGAAAAAATTAACAAAATCCACAAACCCTTAGCCAATATGACAAAATGGAGGAAGGAAAAGACCCAAATTAATAAAAACAGAGATGAAAAAGGGGACATAACCACAAATACTAACAAAATCCAGAGAATCATTAGAGAGTACTTTGAAAACTTATATTCAAGTAAACTGGAAAATCTAGATAAAATGGATAAATTCCTAGATGCATATAACCAACCAAAATTGAACTAAGAAGATATTAAACACCTAAATAGTCCTGTTACATGCAATGAAATTAAAGCAGTAATAAAGAAACTCCCTACAAAAAAGAGCCCAGAACCTGATGGATTCATGGTCAAATTTTACCAAACCTTTAAAGAAGAACTAACATTAATACTCCTCAAACTTTTCCAGGAAATAGAAGGGAAAAAATACTACCAAACTCATCCTATGAAGCCAGCATCACACTCATTCCAAAACCCAATAAAGATGTAACCAGAAAAGAGAATTATAGACCAATATCTTTAATGAATACAGATGCAAAGATTCTCAACAAAATTCTGGCAAATAGAATTCAACAACACATCAAAAGGATCACATACCATGACCAAGTCAGTTTCATTCCAGGGATGAAAGGATGGTTCAACATATGTAAATCTATAAATGTAATACAGCATACAAACAGAAGCAAGGACAAAGAAACACATGATCTTCTCAATAGACACAGAAAAGGCCTTTGACAAAATCCAGCACACTTTCATGATAAAAGCTCTGAAGAAACTAGGAACAGAGGGAATGTTCCTCAACATAATAAAGGCTATATATGACAAACCTAGAACCAACATCATACTAAAATGGAGATCAACTGAAACCATTCCCCTTAAAGTCAGGAATGAGGCAGGGCTGTCTGCTTTCTCCACTCCTATTCAATATAGTCTTGGAATACCTAGCCAGAGCAATAAGACAAGAGTAATAAACAAAAGGGACTCAAATAGGAAGGAAGAAGTTAAAGTATCCCTATTTCCCATCATGCAGATGACATGATCCTATACCAAAGAGACCCCAAAACTCTACCAATAAAACTATTAAAAATCATAAATTCTTTTGGCAAAGTAGCAGGATACAAAATTAACATACAGAAATCCAGCTTTTCTATATACCAATAATGAACAAACTGAGAAAAAAATCAGGGAAACAATCCCATTTATAATAGCCTCAAAAACAATAAAGTACCTTGGAATAAATTTAACAAAAGAAACCAAAGACCTTTTTAATGAAAACTATAAACCACTGAAGAGAGAAATCAAAGATATCAGAAGATGGAAAGACCTTCCATGCTCATGGATTAGTAGAATCAACATTGTGAAAATGGCCATACTACCAAAAGCAATCTACATGATCAATGCAATCCCTGTCAAAATTCCAATGACATTCTGCACAGAAATAGAGAAAGCAATAGTAACATTCATATGGAAACACAAAAGACCTCAAATAGCCAAAGCAATTCTGAGCAAAAAGTGCAATGCTGGAGGCATCACAATACCCAACTTCAAAATACATTACAGAGCCATAATAATAAAAACAGCATGGCATTGACACAAAAACAGACAGGAAGACCAATGGATCAGAATAGAGGACACAGATATAAACCCATGTATCTACAGCCAACTGACCTTCAATAAAGGAGCCCAAAACACACAATGAAGAAAAGACAGCCTCTTCAACAAATGCTGCTGGGAAAACTGGATAGCCACATGTAGAAGACTGAAACTAGATCCCTTTCTTCTACCTTGTACCAAAATCAACTCAAAGTGGATCAAAAACCTTAGTATAAGGCCTGAAATTTTGAAACAACTCCAGGAAACAGTAGGAAATACACTGGAACAGATAGGTGTAGGGATTGACTTCCAAAACAGAACTCAAAAGGCTCAGCATCTAAGGAAAAGAATGAACAAAATAGGACTAAAAATCTTCAGCACAGCAAAGGAAACAGTCACCAGACTCAAGAGACAGCTCACAGAAAGGGAGAAAAATCTTTGCCAGCTACTCATCCAATAAGGGACTAATAGCCAGAATCCACAAGGAACTCAAAAAATTCAGCCCCCAAAGAATCAACACCCCAATGAAGAAATGGGCACATGAATTAAACAGAGAATCCTCAAAGGAAGAGGTACAAATGGCCAGTAAACACATGAAATAGTGTTCAACTTTCCTGGTTAAAAAAGAGATACAAATCAAAACAACACTTATGTTTTATCTCTCCCCAGTTAGAATGACTGTAATCGAGGGTAATAACAACAATAAATGCTGGCAAAGATGTGGCAAAACAGGAACCCTTATACACTGCTGCTGAGAATGCAAATTGGTACAACCACCGTGGAAATTAGTATGGAGATTCCTCAAAAAACTAGAGCTAGAACTGCCATATGATCCAATGCTACCTCTTCTAGGCATCTACCCAAAGGAACATAAGGCAGCATACAGTAGAGACATCTGTACACCAATGTTCTTCATAGCACTATTCACAATAGCCAAGCTCTGGAAACAACCCAGATGTCCTACAACTAATAAATGGATCAAGAAATTGTGGCATATATATATATATATATATATATATATATATATATACATATATACATATATATATGTATATATATATATATATACAATGGCGTATTACTCGGCCATAAGGAATAATGACAT